AATACGGAGCTCCTGCGGATCAAGACGTGTGCCTGTCGCAGACATAGGGACTGCCAGAAGGAAGTCCCCTGCATGGGGAGCCTGCACAGCTGTGAGGCGTGCACGATCACTGGGGTTGTTGCTGCCTCCAGCAAAGCTGTGGCTTCTTTGTCTACAATGGGGCTGTCCCAACTGGATTGTTTCTTGGCTTTCGGCATGGCTGGTCTGAGTGCTGGGTCTGTCATGGCACCCCATTTCGTGTCACATTCCGTGTAGTGGGGGTCCTGTATCCCCGCTACATCACTCAGGGTGTCAGGTAGAATTTCCTTAACCAGGTCATCTGATGCTGAGGAGGAAGACAGGAAGGCTGGGACTGCAATTTGGGTGGCGGTGCGGACACCCAAGCCACCGAGCCTGACAGGAAGAGTGGCTTGTTTCCACTGGCATTCGTTGAGAGAGAGGTTAACAACTTTTTCCAGCATGGTCTTCAGTAGGAGGTCATACTCGTCAAGCTTTGGGTTGTTGTAAGATGGGGCGCACCTCAGAAAGTAGGTTAGCCTCGGAAGGGATAGGCATTTGGTGAGGAGATAAAAAGCATCGTGGGCATCGATGTCACCTATTCTGTCTTCCATCCTCCTAAGGTCTGCGATTTTCTTGTCGAGGATCTCCTCAATGGCGTTAGACCCGAGGGGAGCTCCAAGGAGGGTGCTGTTCTCGGCCCTAATGACATGGGCTCCAGGCAAGGCAGACCTTATTCTAGCTACGATGTCTGGGTTGGAGGAGACTACTTCACACTTGGAAGGGTTCAGGACGAGACCCAGGCTTACTTCTTGCTCCCTTATTTTCCTGATATCTGACAAGAGGTGGTCTACGGTGCCAGCTATAGTGCCATCATCCAAAAACCAGATGTTGAACTCGCTGGACAAGCTTTCGGTGATTTCTTTTAAGACTAAGCAGAAAAGAAGGGGAGCAAGAGGATCACCTTGCTGAACACCTTCACATGATCTGATTTCATGTTCACCAAAGAGCAGTTTTGACTCGCCACTGTAGCACGATAGTATGAACGGGTAGAGGGGCCGGAAATGGCGATGTACGGCACAAAGTACTGCATCTCTTCTTACCATGTTGAAGGCATTCTTAAAGTCCAGTTTGAGCAGGGCCTTTTCATCAGAAATGTTTGTGATGTATGCTCGTGCTGCATGGGCAGCCGCTTCACAGCCTTGGGGGATTCCAAATCCTAGCTGGATTGGTTTCAGCAATTCAGCCGCTTGCTGGCTGACAACCCTCGTAGCAGCCTTGGCAATCAGGCGTCGGAGAGTGTTGCCAACAGCGATTGGCCTGATTCCTTCGTCCTTCTTTTTGAGAGCACAGAGGGAGGCACCAAAAAAGAGAGGCCTGATGACCTCAGGTATCTCACCAGCCAGACACATGTTGACGAACCTTGTGAGTTCCATAAGAAGATCTTGTGCAGCATCACCAACCGCAGGATTTAACATTTGCTTGATATGTTGAGGTTTTAACCCTGTAAAGCCGCCTGCTGACCCAGGTGGAAAAGAAAGGGCTGCTTTGTAGACCTCAGATTCACCAACTGTTAATGGGTCTGAAATGGTGTCGGCTGATGGCGGAACGATGTTGTCGCCTTGAGGGGCTCTGGGTGGGTGCTTGCTTTGCAGGGCCCGTGCTGTGGCTGAGTTTCGAGGAGCAATTTTCTCGTCACTGGTGAGGACTCTAATAGCACTTGCGGTATTTCCCTCTTCAATTTTCTTGGTGATTTGTGCTCTGATTTTGTACGTTTCCGGTATGTTGTTGTATATATATATATATATATATATATATATATATATATATATATATATATATATATATATATATATATATATATATATATAAATCGTACCTAATAGCCAGAACGTACTTCTCAGCCTACTATGCACGGCCCGATTTGCCTAATAAACCAAGTTTTCATGAATTAATTGTTTTTCGGCAACCTAACCTAACTTTTTCGGCTATCTAACCTAACCTAACCTAACCTAACCTATAAAGATAGGTTAGGTTAGGTTAGGTAGGGTTGGTTAGGTTCGGTCATATGTCTACGTTAATTTTAACTCCAATACCAAAAAATTTACCTCATACATAATGAAATGGGTAGCTTTATCATTTCATAAGAAAAAAATTAGAGAAAATATATTAATTCCAGAAAACTTGGCTTATTAGGCAAATCGGACCATGCATAGTAGGCCGAGAAGTGCGTTCTGGCTACTAGGTACGACATATATATATATATAGTTATATATAAATATATATATATATATATATATATATGTCGTACCTAGTAGCCAGAACGCACTTCTCAGCCTACTATGCAAGGCCCGATTTGCCTAATAAGCCAAGTTTTCATGAATTAATTGTTTTTCGACTACCTAACCTACCTAACCTAACCTAACCTACCTTTTTCGGCTACCTAACCGAACCTAACCTATAGAGATAGGTTAGGTTAGGTTAGGTAGGGTTGGTTAGGTTCGGTCATATATCTACGTTAATTTTAACTCCAATAAAAAAAATTGACCTCATACATAATGAAATGGGTTGATTTATCATTTCATAAGAAAAAAATTAGAGAAAATATATTAATTCAGGAAAACTTGGCTTATTAGGCAAATCTGGCCTTGAATAGTAGGCCAAAAAGTGAGTTCTGGCTACTAGGTACGACATATATATATATATATATATATATATATATATATATATATATATATATATATATATATATATATATATATATATATATATATATATATATATATATATATATATATACCTATACATATATATGTATGTATATATATATATATATATATATATATATATATATATATATATATATATATATATATATATATATATATTATATATATATATATATGTCGTACCTAATAGCCAGAACGCACTTCTCAGCCTACTATTCAAGGCCCGATTTGCCTAATAAGCCAAGTTTTCATGAATTAATGTTTTTACGTCTACCTAACCTACCTAACCTAACCTAACCTAACTTTTTTTGGCTACCTAACCTAACCTTATCTATAAATATAGGTTAAGTTAGGTTAGGTAGGGTTGGTTAGGTTCGGTCATATATCAACGTTAATTTTAACTCCAATAAAAAAAAATTGACCTCATACATAGAGAAAAGGGTTGCTTTATCATTTCATAAGAAAAAAAATATAGTAAATATATTAATTCAGGAAAACTTGGCTTATTAGGCAAATCGGGCCTTAAATAGTAGGCTGAGAAGTGAGTTCTGGCTACTAGGTACGACATATATATATATATATATATATATATATATATATATATATATATATATATTCCTATACATATATATGTATGTATATATATATATATATATATATATATATATATATATATATAATATATATATATATATATATATATATATATATATATATATATATATATATATATGTCGTACCTAATAGCCAGAACGCACTTCTCGGCCTACTATGCAAGGCCTGATTTGCCTAATAAGCCAAGTTTTCCTGAATTAATATATTTTCTCTAACTTTTTTCTTATGAAATGATAAAGCTACCCATTACATTACGAATGAGGTCAATTTTTTTTATTGGAGTTAAAATTAACGTAGATATATGACCGAACCTAACCAACCCTACCTAACCTAACCTAACCTATCTTTATAGGTTAGGTTTGGTTAGGTAGCCGAAAAAGTTAGGTTAGGTTAGGTTAGGTAGGTTAGGTAGACGAATAACAATTAATTCATGAAAACTTGGCTTATTAGGCAAATCTGGCCTTGCATAGTAGGCATAGAAGTGAGTTCTGGCTACTAGGTACGACATATATATATATATATATGTCGTACCTAGTAGCCAGAACGCACTTCTCAGCCTACTATGCAAGGCCCAATTTGCCTAATGAGCCAAGTTTTCATGAAATAATTGTTTTTCGACTACCTAACCTACCTAACCTAACCTAACCTAACTTTTTCGGCTACCTAACCTAACCTAGCCTATAAAGATAGGTTAGGTTAGGTTAGGTAGGGTTGGTTAGGTTCGGTCATATATCTACGTTAATTTTAACTCCAATAAAAAAAATTGACCTCATACATAATGAAATGGGTAGCTTTATCATTTCATAAGAAAAAATTAGAAAAAATATATTAATTCAGGAAAACTTGGCTTATTAGGCAAATCGGGCCATGTATAGTAGGCTGAGAAGTGCGTTCTGGCTATTAGGTACGACATATATATATATATATATATATATATATATATATATATATATATATATATATATATATATATATATATATATATATATATATATATATATATATATATATATATATATATATGTCGTACCTAGTAGCCAGAACGCACTTCTCGGCATACTATTCAAGGCCCGATTTGCCTAATAAGCCAAGTTTTCCTGAAATAATATATTTTCTCTAATTTTTTTCTTATGGAATGATAAACCTACCCATTTCATTATGTATGAGGTCAATTTTTTTTTATTAGAGTTAAAATTAACGTAGATATATGACCGAACCTAACCAACCCTACCTAACCTAACCTAACCTATCTTTATAGGTTAGGTTAGGTTAGGTAGCGGAAAAAGTTAGGTTAGGTTAGGTTAGGTAGGTTAGGTTGCCGAAAAACAATTAATTCATGAAAACTTGGCTTATTAGGCAAATCGAGCCTTGAATAGTAGGCTGAGAAGTGCGTTCTGGCTACTAAGTACGACATATATATATATATATATATATATATATATATATATATATATATATATATATATATATATATATATATATATATGTATGTATATTATATATATATATATATATATATATATATATATATATATATATATATATATATATATATATATATATATATATATATAAATATATATAGTTATATATATACTTTATATATGTGTGTCTGACATTGTGAAACATTATTGCATAATATTAAGCTCTTCTTTTCAGATCAGCTTCAAAACCTCGACGGCCATAAATTCCGAATTGTGTCAGTCCCTTACTTCCCTTACATGGACTACACACTGAATGATGAGGATCGTAGTGGCCAAGTAATACCAAGAGATTCACTTGATGTTCGGTTGATCAACACATTTGCAGCAGTAACTAATTTTACGTAAGAAAACCCTAGTATTTTCATGTCTTTGTTAATAACATACATATCCGGGAGCATGATTTAATTACAACGCCTTGGTTGCCTTCCTCGAGCTGTGTGAGAGAAGGGTCTCAGTTTCCCATTGCTGACTTGAAGGGCCATATTGCAGAGCATTTGCATGTGCATTAAAGTCAGCGAGCTACCCGCCTCCACCCACGGAATGCATGTACAAAGTCAATCTCCTCTTTTTCTGGACCGAAACCTAGGTAGTTTAGTCTCTTCTGAGAGCCCATGATACTGGTAGCATAATGATGCCAAGTGGGTTATTGGGTGTTTAGTTAATTAGTAGATAGACACACCATATCACTAGACATTGTCCATCTTGAAAGGCTGCTAATTGGAGTTTTCTGCCTAAGGCAATACGGAAAGATTAAGTTCAGGTCAAGTTCAATGGTCAAAATGGGGATCGGTGACGTACAATTATGCCATGCCCACCAAACACACACCGAAACTACGACGTTGGTACAACGTTCGAACAAGTTTTAACACCTAACCAGTTATAACAACCAATATAACAAGTTGTAACAACGTTCTAATACGTTATAAACACGTTAAGCCGATATGTAACAACTTTGTTACAAGTTGTAACAAGCAGAAAATAGAGCCAGTTACGGTTTGTGTTTCCAGGGATGACCCACGTCACCACATATGAACCTATTGCGATCAATTATGCCTAGACGCCTGTCGAGTTACCTTTCACTGATTGGCCAATCCCAGAGACAACAGCTGAAGCTGACTAGTATGTGCTTGTATTCCCGGTCAAGCATTCCGGCAAAGGCCCACAATGACAGGTGTGAGTGCGCTGTCTCTTAGTGGTCAGCGCTCACCAGTTACCAAACACAGCATTAAGCTCCCCTTTGTCATCACCTTAATATAGCACCCTCATCCGACGTGAATGTCTCGTGGGTGGCTGGACTCCAGCGAGCAACACATGGTTGACACATTACATGGCATGAGTGTAGAGGGATACCTCGAGGTACACCCAGGAACCTCGAGGTACACCCAGGTACCTCGAGGTACACCCAGGTACCTCGGGTACACCCAGATACCTCGGGGTACACCCAGATACCTCGAGGTACACCCAGATACCTCGAGGCACACCCCAGATACCTCGTGGTACACCCAGATACCTCGAGGTACACCCAGGTACCTCGGGGTACACCCAGAAACTTCGGAGTACACCCAGATACCTCGGGGTACACCCAGATACCTCGAGGTACACTCAGATACCTCGAGGTACACCCCAGATACCTCGGGGTACACCCAGATACCTTGAGGTACACTCAGATACCTCGGGGTACACCCAGATACAGTGGGGTACACCCAGATACCTCGAGGTACTCCCAGATACCTCGGGGTACACCCAGATACCTCAGGGTACACCCAGATACCTCGAGGTACACCCAGATACCTCACGGTACACCCAGATACGTCGTGGTACACCCAGATACCTCGAGGTACACCCAGATACCTCGAGGTACACCCAGGTACCTTGGGGAATACCGAGATACCTCGAGGTATACCCAGATACCTCGAGGTACACCCAGATACCTTGAGGTACACTCAGATACCTCGGGGTACACCCAGATACCTCACGGTACACCCAGATACGTCGTGGTACACCCAGATACCTCGAGGTACACCCAGATACCTCGAGGTACACCCAGGTACCTTGGGGAATACCGAGATACCTCGAGGTATACCCAGATACCTCGAGGTACACCCAGATACCTTGAGGTACACTCAGATACCTCGGGGTACACCCAGATACAGTGGGGTACACCCAGATACCTCGAGGTACTCCCAGATACCTCGGGGTACACCCAGATACCTCAGGGTACACCCAGATACCTCGAGGTACACCCAGATACCTCACGGTACACCCAGATACGTCGTGGTACACCCAGATACCTCGAGGTACACCCAGATACCTCGAGGTACAACCAGATACCTCGTGGTACACCCAGATACCTCGGGGTACACCCAGATACCTCGAGGTACACCCAGATACCTTGAGGTACACCCATATACCTCGTGGTACACCCAGATACCTCGAGGTACACCCAGATACCTCGAGGTACAACCAGATACCTCGTGGTACACCCAGATACCTCGTGGTACACCCAGATACCTCAGGGTACACCCAGATACCTCAGGGTACACCCAAAAGCAACAGCCTGTGAGAAGTGTTCCACTGTGATCGTGTTCAGCGAACCTTAAGTGCAGACCAGAAGTATTGCCACACATGGTCTAAGGTTCAAAGCCCTGCATGCATGTAAGGAGGAATGACCAGTAGTGTAGACCACTCTGCATTTCACTCGTTCAAACCAGTGTATTGCCGTCAGCCGGCCGCGTGATGCACAGCCGACAGCGTGTAGCACAGCCGGCTGCGTGTTGCACAGCCGACAGCGTATAGCACAGCCGGCTGCGTGTTGCACAGCCGGCCACGTGTTGCACAGCCAGCAGCAGCACCTGCACCAAGCCCAGCTGTAGGCGGCTCGCTGTACACCTGCCATTCCACGTAGCAGGAATGGCAAATCCTCGAGGATTTGTTCTCGTGACCCGCTCCTCCACCAGAACACCACAGGCGTCACTTTAGAGCTGCTCCTAAACTGTCTGCTGCACCCTGTCACGTGTGACGTACGACCACGAGCAGTTGTTGTAGAGCACGACTACCATGAGCAGTTGTTGTAGAGCACGACTACCATGAGCAGTCGATGTAGAGCACGACTACCATGAGCAGTCGATGTAGAGCACGACTACCATGAGCAGTCGATGTAGAGCACGACTACCACGAGCAGTCGATGTAGAGCACGACTACCATGAGCAGTCGATGTAGAGCACGACTACCATGAGCAGTCGATGTAGAGCACGACTACCATGAGCAGTCGATGTAGAGCACGACTACCACGAGCAGTCGATGTAGAGCACGACTACCATGAGCAGTCGATGTAGAGCACGACTACCATGAGCAGTCGATGTAGAGAACGACTACCATGAGCAGTCGATGTAGAGAACGACTACCATGAGCAGTCGATGTACAGTACGACTACCACGAGCAGTCGATGTAGAGCACGACTACCATGAGCAGTCGATGTAGAGCACGACTACCATGAGCAGTCGATGTAGAGCACGACTACCATGAGCAGTCGATGTAGAGCACGACTACCATGAGCAGTCGATGTACAGTACGACTACCACGAGCAGTTGATGTACAGTACGACTACCACGAGCAGTTGATGTACAGTACGACTACCACGAGCAGTTGATGTACAGTACGACTACCACGAGCAGTTGATGTAGAGCACGACTACCACGAGCAGTTGATGTAGAGCACGACTACCACGAGCAGTTGATGTACAGTACGACTACCACGAGCAGTTGATGTACAGTACGACTACCACGAGCAGTTGATGTACAGTACGACTACCACGAGCAGTCGATGTACAGTACGACTACCACGAGCAGTCGATGTAGAGCACGACTACCACAAGCAGTTGATGTAGAGCACGACTACCACGAGCAGTCGATGTAGAGCACGACTACCACAAGCGGTCGTTGTAGAGCACGACTACCACGAGCAGTCGATGTAGAGCACGACTACCACAAGCAGTCGATGTACAGTACGACTACCACGAGCAGTCGATGTAGAGCACGACTACCACGAGCAGTCGATGTAGAGCACGACTACCATGAGCAGTCGATGTAGAGCACGACTACCACGAGCAGTCGATGTAGAGCACGACTACCACGAGCAGTCGATGTAGAGCACGACTACCACAAGCGGTCGTTGTAGAGCACGACTACCACAAGTGGTCGATGGTGGCTCAGCGAGCCACAGAAACGCGTGCAAGCAATGCTAGGCCCGATTTGCCTAATAAGCCAAGTTTTCCAGAATTTCAATATTTTTCTCAATGTTTTCTTATGAAATGACAAAGAAATTAATTTCATTATTTATTAGCTATTTTTTTAATTTGAGTAAAAACTAACGTAGATATATGACCGAACCTAACCAACCCTACCTAACCTAACCTAACCTAACCTAAACTAAACTAACATAACTAAATCAATAATTTATGTTCTTAATATAATATAATAATAGCCCAGTTGATGGCTCCACACCCAGTTGATGGCTCCACACCCAGTTGATGCCTCCACACCCAGTTGATGGCTCCACACCCAGTTGATGGCTCCACACCCAGTTGATGGCTCCACACCCAGTTGATGCCTCCACACCCAGTTGATGGCTCCACACCCAGTTGATGCCTCCACACCCAGTTGATGCCTCCACACCCAGTTGATGGCTCCACACCCAGTTGATGCCTCCACACCCAGTTGATGCCTCCACACCCAGTTGATGCCTCCACACCCAGTTGATGGCTCCACACCCAGTTGCTGGCCACACCCAGTTGATGCCTCCACACCCAGTTGCTGGCTACACACCCAGTTGATGCCTCCACACCCAGTTGCTGGCTACACACCCAGTTGATGCCTCCACACCCAGTTGATGTTTCCACACCCAGTTGATGCCTCTACACCCAGTTAATGCCTCCACACCCAGTTGATGCCTCCACACCCAGTTGCTGTCCACACCCAGTTACTGTCTCCACACCCAGTTGCTGGCTACACACCCAGTTGATGCCTCCACACCCAGTTGATGTCTCCACAACCAGTTGCTGTCTCCACACCCAGTTGCTGGCTACACACCCAGTTGATGCCTCCACACCCAGTTGCTGGCTACACACCCAGTTGATGCCTCCACACCCAGTTGCTGGCTACACACCCAGTTGATGCCTCCACACCCAGTTGATGGCTCCACACCCAGTTGATGCCTCCACACCCAGTTGCTGGCTCCACACCCAGTTGATGCCTCCACACCCAGTTGATGCCTCCACACCCAGTTGATGCTGTCTCCACACCCAGTTGATGGCTCCACACCCAGTTGATGCCTCCACACCCAG